ACCCATATCACAATCGTCCTCTATTTCGGGAACACCGTGGTCGGGAAGAGCGTCATGGAGACCTCGGTTTTCGGGTCGATCTCCCTGAGTTTTCTGGTATGTTACAGGCTGAGGGATTCGTGGATTGGATTAATGAAGTAGAGCGTATTTTTGAATATAAGGAAGTCCTTGATCGTTTGAAAGTGAAATGATCACCATCAAACTCAAGGGCAGAGCATCTGCGTGGTGGGAACAGTTGCGACATTCACGAAAGGCCAGGGCAAGGCCAAGATCATTGATTGGGAGAAGATGAAGAAGAAGATGAAGGGTCACTTACTTCCCTTCGGCTACACACAAACCTTGTTTCAGCGACTTCATACGTTAAGGCAGGGCGCACGATCAGTCGATGATTACACGGAGAAGTTTTACCAATTGGTCGCCCGGAACGATTTATCTGAGACGGAGGAGCAAATGGTGGTGCGGTATTTGGGGGGTTTACGCCAGCCCTTACAAGATATCCTCAGCCTTCATTCACTGTGGAGTGTTTCGTAAGCTTACCAGCGTGCACTTGCTGTTGAAAAACAGCAAAACAGGAGACCAATGATCAGGAACGATCACAACAGTCGACCAGTTCGTCCTCAGGATTCCCGTCCTGCTCAACAGCCACCGCAGGGTAATTCTAACCCTACTATTAGATGTTTTCGTTGTGGTGAACAAGGGCATAGGGCGACTGATTGCAAGAAGTCTGCTAGCCAAAAGAGAAAAAATTTGTTGATTGAGGAAAACGCGGAAGACGAGACTGAGGAGATTGGCGAACCCGTGTATGACGATGATGAGACTGATGATGTATTGTATGAAGATGGTCATGAGACTCTGGTCGTTCGCAAGAGTCTACTTACTCCCAAGGGCGATTCAGGGGACGATTGGTTGAGAACCAATATTTTCCACATGACCTGCACAGTTGCAGATAAAGTCTGCAAAATGATCATTGACAGCGGCAGTTGTGAGAATGTAGTGTCCGAGGAGGTTGTACAGAAATTGCAGTTGAAGATGGACCGTCATCCTAAGCCATACAAGCTATCATGGCTAAATAAAGGCAGTGAGGTAACAGTTGATAGGCGATGCCTCGTGTCTTTTTCAATTGGTAGAAAATATTTTGATAATGTATGGTGTGATGTTGTGTCTATGGATGCGTGTCATATATTGTTGGGTCGACCCTGGCAGTATGATTGCAGTGTCATTCATGATGGACGGAAGAATACATATTCCCTTAGCATCAAGGGAAAAAAGATTGTGTTGGCACCCCGGCGGGAAGGACTCACTCCTACCCCAATAACCCATAATACTACTATGCTTTCTATGTTCAGGTTTTTAGATGAGATTGAGCATGGCGACGTGGTCTATGCCTTACTACCTTGCGAGAACAATGCAGTAGACGTGGATGCAGATTTACCAGTAGAAGTGCAGCGGCTGCTAGCAGAATTCTCTAACTTGATGCCAGAGGATCTTCCTCCTAGGCTACCACCTATGAGGGATATTCAGCATCAAATTGACCTTGTTCCTGGGTCAAGTTTGCCAAATCGACCAGCATATCGCCTCAGTCCCAAAGAGGCTGAAGAGTTGTAGCGATAAGTGGAAGAGTTGTTGGAGAGGGTCTATATCCGAGAGAGTATGAGCCCATGTGCAGTCCCTGCTCTGCTAGTGCCAAAGAAAGATGGTTTTTGGCGTATGTGTGTTGACAGCCGAGCGATCAATAGAATTACAGTTAAGTACCGGTTTCCAATTCCCCGTCTAGATGATATGTTGGATCAACTATCTGGTTCTAAGGTCTTCTTAAAAATTGACCTTAAGAGTGGTTACCACCAAATCAGAATAAGACCTGGAGATGAGTGGAAGACGGCGTTTAAAACGCCACAAGGGTTGTATGAGTGGATGGTCATACCTTTCGGGCTATCCAATGCGCCCAGTACGTTCATGAGATTTATGCATCAGGTCTTGCGGCCTTTTATGGGGAAATTTGTTGTAGTTTACTTCGATGATATCCTCGTTTATAGTCCGACATGGACTTCACACTTCGATCACCTCCGAGCTGTTTTTGAGATGCTAAAAATGGAGTGCTTGTTTGTCAATCAAAAGAAGTGTTCTTTCTTCACTACTTCTGTGACTTTTCTTGGTTTTATTGTGTCTACTGATGGTGTTCATGCAGATCAGTCAAAGGTAGATGCAGTCTTGGAGTGGCCCAGACCAAAGACCTTACATGACATCCGAAGTTTCCATGGCTTGGTGTCTTTTTACTGCCGATTCATTAGAAATTTCAGTACTCTGATCGTCCCTATCACAGAGTGCCTCAAGGGGCGTGATTTCCAGTGGTCTGAGGAGGCAGAGGCCAGTTTTCAACTGGTCAAGCAGAAGATGACCGAGGCTCCAGTTTTGGCACTTCCAGATTTTGACAAAGTGTTCGAGGTAAATTATGATGCATCTGGCGTTGGCATTGGTGGTGTTCTGAGTCAGGCAGGTCGTCCGGTTGCTTTTTTCAGTGAAAAACTATCGGGATCAAAGAAAAATTATTCCACTTATGATCTGGAGTTCTATGCCATAGTTCAGTCCCTGAAGCATTGGCGTCACTACCTAGTACAGAAGGAGTTTATTCTGTTTACCGATCATGAGGCCTTGAAGTACATCAATGGACAACACAAGCTTAGTAGACGTCATGCCAAGTGGGTGGCATACTTGCAAGAATTCACTTTTACGCTGAGGCACCATGCAGGGAGTTTGAACCGCATCGCATATGCCCTCAGCCGTCGTACCTTACTTCTCACCACCATGAGTACTAAAGTTGCAGGCTTTGAGACGTTCACAGATATGTATGCAGCTGATCCTTCCTTTGGAATGATATTTCAGGAGGTAACTGAGGGTCACCGTCATGATTTTGTTTTGCATAATGGGTATCTGTTTCGTGGATTACAGTTGTACATTCCAGATTGTTCATTGAGGCATCAAATTATAAGTGAACTCCATAATGAGGGACACTTTGACCGAGATAAGACCTTGGCCCTTATTTCTTCTGACTTTTATTGGCCCAAGTTGACTAGTGATGTGGCCCATTATGTGGACTGTTGTTATGTGTGCCAGCAATCTAAGGGAGTTCTCACTAATGCGGGCTTGTACACTCCCTTACCTGTTCCTGAAGCTCCTTGGTTCGATGTCAGCATGGATTTTGTACTAGGCTTACCCCGCACCCAAAGGGCCTCAGATTCTATCTTTGTTGTGGTTGACAGGTTTTCCAAGATGGCTCATTTTGTAGCTTGCAGAAAGACTATGGATGCTGATCGGATTGCCCATCTCTATTTCAAGGAGATTGTGCATTTACATGGTGTTCCTCGATCCATCACTTCAGATCGTGATACTAAGTTCATCAGTCATTTCTGGAAGAGCCTGTGGGGGAAACTGGGAACGCAGTTAAATTTCAGTAGCGCCTACCACCCCCAGACGGATGGCCAGACTGAGGTGGTGAACCGAAGTTTGGGAAACCTCTTGAGGTGTTTGGCAGGAATGAAGCCGAAGCAGTGGGATTTGGCATTGCCTCAGGCAGAATTTGCCTACAACAGATCAAAAAACAGAACCACAGGTTTAAGCCCATTTGAGATTGTCTATGGTCAGAACCCATCCGGGGTACTGAACTTAGCCCCTATTCAACGTATAGGTCGTTTCAGTCCTAAAGCAGATGAGATGGCAAAGTATCTTCGAGGTTTCCATGAGCAGGTGAAACAAACCATTCATGAGAGCAATTCCAAGTACAAGACTCGGGTCGACAATCATCGTCGTCAGGTACTTTTTGATGTTGGTGATTTTGTTTGGGCTATATTAACTCGTGATCGTTTTCCTGTTGGTGAGTATAATAAGCTTAAGGATCGGAAGATTGGACTTTGTGAGGTCGTGCAGAAGATCAATGATAATGCTTACAGGTTGCGCCTTCCCAGCCACTTGAAGACTTCTGATGTCTTTAATGTGAAGCACCTGAGTCATTGTTTTGTGGATTCTGATGATACTACTCTGAACTCGAGGACGAGTTCTTTCCAACCCGGGGTGACTGATGCAGGGGGATCCGAGACAGATGATGCTGAGCTATCAGATTGCACCTTGATGGCACTGAGATACCATGAATTGGCAGATCAGCGCAAAGGCGGAAATTGATTGTGACATTCCTCATTGGGGTCGTTTTGAGTATGTTTCAGTTTTTTGGCTACAGGTGTCAGAATCGCGCATAAGACCCCAATCCGGAAAGCTCTTTTCGACGCGCACGCTCTCCACATGAGCTACATTCCATGTGGCCTTTTTTTCAACCTCAAATTCTGCCGTTTTTCCCTCCGAATCACTAGAATTAGATATTTTTTACTATTTATGGTAATATTTCGATTGACTCAATTTAAATCCGATTTAGGCCGGATTTTTTGGAGATATGCTTATTTTATTTCGAATTTCACTTTAGAGTGATTTTTGGGATTTTTCTATTTTTGGCAAAATTCGAATAAAGACGATTTTTGGCTATAACAATCCGGCTTGTGGACTGATTTTGGCGTTGTTTGATTTGATAATATTTTATTAAACCCTAGAGACTTTTTTTCTCTGGATTTTTTTGGGCGAATTTTCTTTTGTGAATCATCTGTTTGCAGGATAATCACTATTCTGTCTGACGTCATTTACTAACCTACATAAAATTTGTTCGTGTCATATGCGTTAGGGTTTGAGCTTCATTGTTTTGTAATGATCCATGGCTTGGACATGTAATCATAGATTTGAAACAAGATGCAATCATTTTGGATGTAAAGAAATGATCCAACTGGGTTGAAGTTCTGAGTAAACCATTTTTGTTCTTTTGTTTCACCATGCAGGAATCAAAACTCTTTCCAAGTGAAGCCATTAGTCCTTCTGGAAAAACAAATAAATAACCAGTCTCTTATTTATTAACCATATTATTAACTGCAAACATCTCAAGATTGTAGATGGCCTTTATTTGTTAATCAATCTTCATGATCCCAAATATCAGCCACGCTTGTGAAGGGCCCTTGGTTCTTGTTCACAAACAATTCCTCTCCATCCAACACTCGTTTCTGTTGAGGTATGTTGCAGAGAGCTTGGAAATCTTCATCCGGCAGTTGCCAATCAAACACCTTGATGTTCTCCTTTATTCTCTCAGGGTTGCTTGATTTCGGGATAACACTGGTTCCCCTCTGCATCCCCCATTTCACCAGCACCTGACCCGGGCTCTTGTTCACCTTCTTCGCTACTCTTTCTACCGTCTCGTCGTGGATAAGATCTCTTCCTCCTTCCGATGAACCAAGCGGCGAGTACGCCTGCAAATTTAACATCTTAATTAAATATCAACGGTGGAATATGGAAAACAGGAAATGATTCAAATGAAATGTGTTTTACAGTGACATGGATGGAGTTGTTTTTGCAAAACTCCAGCATCTTGTCGTTTCTCCAACCAGGATGCATTTCCATTTGGCACACGGAAGGCATGGTTTCAGCAAGCCCTAGCAGCTTGTTCATCTTCTTCAAACTGAAGTTGCAGACACCGATGTCTCTAACGAGGTTCTCTTTGACGAGCTTTTCCATTTCTCTCCACACGCCTTCGATGTCCATCTCCTCTACTTCTCCGGCCTTGGGAGGCCTACTCGCTCCTTCTCTAAGACGAAATGGCCAGTGTATCTGCATTCATGGTTCATTTCATTTTTCAATAATTTCTTCAACACCCTACAACATTGTTATATCAATAGTAATCGAAACATATCTATAATTACCAGATAAAGATCAAGATATTCAAGTTGGAGTTCTTGGAGGGTGTTTAGCAATGCAGGTCGAACCCTTTCAGGTGTCAAGCCTGTGCACCTGTATATTACATTTCACCACAAAAATCCCATAGAAAACGTAAAAATCAAACCAAAAAAAAAGTAACACAAATTACCATATCTTGGAAGTGATGAAAAGATCCCTCCTCTCAAGTCCTGCATGTATTGCTGCCTTGATTGCATGGCCAACCTGAGAAACCAAAGAGAAAATGTCAAAAAAAGAGATTTGCTTTGCATGTTGGGATACTATAGAGAAAAAAGAGATTACATCTTCTTGAACCCCGTACTCCCAAGCTGTATCTATGTGTCTGTAACCACCCTGCAGCCATGATTAGAGGCTTAATCAAATATTAATCAAGCTCGAAATGTTATGAAAAATGATACAAGGGAAGCAAGCATTACCTCGACAATGGCAGTGAAAACAGAGTTGTCGGCCTGAGAACCAGATCTCCAAGTGCCTAATCCAACGGCAGGGATTTTGTGGCCACTCAGCAGCCTGAAAAACTCTAGCTTTTGATCATCAGCTGTGAAAGTTGCATGAGCCATTTTTGCTTCTATATTTTTCTATTTGTACTCCATACTTGCATACATACACAAGTATATATACACACATATAGAGTGAGGGGGTCATAATTCTGCATATATGCCATCATGCATGTAAGACACGTCCCGAAACTTCAAAACCTGGCGTGTCCAAATTGTGGAGCTGTTGGCTATGCCGCTTTGAGACCTGGCGTCTCCATCTTGTGGATCACGCGTCCTCAGCTTGTTGATTAAGCTTATTGACAAATCGATGCTTCTACTTACATCCACTTTCATTTCAATCATGTTATAGATAAAAAGAAAAGTATATATATATATCAATCAATTGAGATTTAAAATCGATTTAACCGGTAAAAAGCACGAGAATTATAAAAATTAGTTTTAAACATTAAATTCTTGAATTCATTTTCTGTCCTACAAACTATCGAACCATGTCCTTTTCACTGTATAATAAGATAAATAGTAATTCAAATTTTGATTCTAAATTCATTCGGAAAATATTTAATTATCGATTGTTTTAACATTTTATTTACAAATTGCAAATTATTTTATTTTAAGTAAATTATGCTAGTTTAATTCTTCTCTCTTCTGTAAATTAATAAGGATTGTTATAATCGAAATTTACACAATTGATAATGAAACATATTGATCTGATTATTATAATGAGTAAACATAATAATTACATTATTGAGAAATTATTTTATGCCTTGACTTGAAGATTCATGACCCATTTTGCTACGAGTGAAATTGTGTGTCAAAGAAATAAAACGTGTAGGCTTTTTAAGGTGAGCCACCATATCCCACCATTACACGAGGCATGCAAATCGGCAAAAAGAAAACAATACAAGGAATGGAAAATGAAATGGAATTGATCTGATTTTTAACCGAGAGCAGCTGGAACAACATGGGGTGGTTTTAAGGGACAGCTGCCGAAGGTTTAAATTAACCATAGCATGTGTCGGTGAAAACATAGAGAATGGTGCTGTCCTTACCCGTAACTGTCGGCTGAAAATGATCAATAACCAAAATGCAATTAAACTTGTCAAGAAATCAAAGCCTTCCTACACATCTCCCATGTTCTTGAAACTAATGCAGGCAAATTAAAGCAAAATAAAATATAGGAATTCAACTTGAGCATCATTCGCCTTAAGGACGAGGGGGAACAGCAACACCAGGCTTAGGCATGTCATCCTGAAACATTTAATAATCAATCAATGAAAGCGGCAAAATATTCAAGAAACATGAAAACAATACCATTAGCATAACATACAAAAAGGCACTCAGTGTCAGGGTTTTAAACAGCGTTCGCGGTCACGTTTTCGGTCGCGTCGCGTTTATCGTGGTTGCTGACATAACGGATGTCATCACGTTCACTGCAGGTGTTGCGGTCGTGAATTTTTTTAAATTTTGCACAACTTATCTTAAAACATAATAAAAATAATTATAATTATAAAGAATCATTTATAAAGATTTTTAAAATGTTTTCTAAGCGAAATTAACATATATATAATATAGTTTAACCAAATAGAAGACTTTAAAAATCCGATGATAGGATAAGATAATTAATTAACGATGACATTGTGCATACATTATTATTTAAAAGAAATAATACTATCAACATAGGAAAAATCTAATAAATTAAAATGGATAAAAATAAGTTTTGCTATAACTATGAGATAAGAAATTATTTACCATTTTATCAAAGAGTTATCCTTCACTGAAAAACTCAAGAATAATATATATATATATATATATATATCAAATGTAAGCAAAAAGAACAACACATATCTCATAAGATAATTAAAGTAAGAAAACAATCTTCATTAAAGCAAGAGCATAAAAGTACGATGTACAATAATTAAAACAACACATACCTCATGTAACATAACTATGTTAAGATGTATAATACTTAAAACAACACATACCTCGTGCAAACAACCTAACTATGTCAAGATGTTCAACAATCTTCATTATGGGTGTCTCTCTTTTAATCTAAAACCAATCAAACAATGTAAATTAAAAACCCAAAAAATGATAACTAATTAAATGTCATAGAAACATAGATTCCTTTGGTAGGTCAAACATACCTTAAAAATGGGGTGGTAGCAGTTTCACCAATTAGAGGAATAATGAGGAAGATCAGATCCTTCACCTTCACTTTGAGAGTGATCTCCACTTGATCTCTGTGGTCTTTGTCCAAAAATATATCCAAAAACTGTAACATTTTTACCTTGATTTTCAAATAATTGAGATGGATGATATACTTGAGGAGGAGGATACATGTGAGGTGGAGGTGGGTGATACATTGGTGGCGGAGGGTACATTTGAGGATGATATGGCACATCATAATTAGGAAATGGTGGATAAAAACCATGTGAAGGTTGAAAATATGAATATTGTCCCTGTGGATAAAAATCATGAGTGCTAGTAGATGAATTGCTATACCCAGGGTTATTAGAAGTCGATCTTCTGCCGGAAGAAAAACCTTCAGAAGTATGTTTTCTGGTGTCTTTCCCTTTTCCTTTTGATTGAGCTCTTGGTTCACTTCTTTCTCTACTAGATGAAGCACGAAAATGTCGACTACCTGTATAAACATATTGTTCTCCATACCGATCAGAAGATCTAAATTCAGCTCCATCACCACTCTGTCTATCATCGTCATCAATTGGACTTAAACCACCACCATCGGGCCCATCACCACTTTGACTTGGTGTTGCACTAGAACTTGAATGAGATAAATTTTGTTGTTGAGATTGATCATCAACATTAATTTCATCATCTGAGGTATCCACAGGCAACACACCAGCATTTTCACCATCTAATAATGGATTCTCTTTCTCTTGAAGCCATTCTGATAGTGAATCAACATCTTCAAAGATATTATCAAGGCTGATAGGATTGTAACTAGCGTTTATATCATCAATGCTCATTCTTTTTTGATGCCTCAAAGTCTCATATTATAATAGGTAAACACTAGTTTCTCAAGTTTTTTGTACTTCAACATGTTTCTTGCTTTGGTGTGAATATAGCTGAATGTGCTCCAATTTCGTTCACAATTTGATGTAGAAGTTGTTTGACTAAGCACTTTAATTGCTAATCATTGTAATTCAGGAGTACATGTGCCATATATCATCCACCACTCAGCTGCATAATATTATTTAAATTTCAAACTAACATCAAAATGTACATATATAATTAAATAATATAAAGTAAATAATATAATTAACTATTTACCTGGATTCATTTGATTCCAAGCTTTTTGTGCCAGTGGAGTATCAAATGTCTCGTGTTTACTTCAAAATAGTAACAACTGCATAAATAAAAGTTTAAGTTAAAATGAGAAAAATATTTCAATTTCAAATTATTTAATTAAGTTACAAATAATATTACTTGAATGAATCTAACCTGATTAACCATTCTGATTTGATTATCAATAGAAGGTTCTAATCTTTCAATCACTGATCTTGTTCCTTCTAATGTTTCTGTTAATACATTCTCAGAATGCTCCACCCCAAATTGAAATTGAGGATTGAGGAAATAACCTAATCATAATTTATGCTCAAATGATAATAATATAAATTATAAAACTTAAAATAAAAAAAATAACTCTTAACGATATGATATATTTTATCTTACCAGCTGAATGCAAGTCGGAATGCATAAAATTCCATCTATTGTCAATAATTCTTTCATACTCGATGGAATATCGACAATTTTCCTTAATTGCTCGTTTAGCTCTATCAACGGCCTCATAAATAAAACCAATTGTTGGTTTTTCATCACCGTCAACAAGCCTTAGCACTTTGACTAGGGGTTCGTAAACTTTTATGATATCAACGGCTTTTTTCCAAAAATCTTTTCCCAAAACAATTTTTTTGGCTTCATAAGCAGGCCCTGATTTTTATTGTCCCCATTTTGATTCTATGAATTCCTATATTTAATAAGAAAAGAAATCAATAACATAATTTAACTTATTTAAAAATTGGAACTAATAAAATCATTAAATATTGTTATATTTGAGTAATCAGTAACTGTATTAACTAATAATAAAATACTAACCTTTGACTTAAACATCACTCTCAAACCTTGTTTTGCCTTGTTATCTCCTCAAGCTGTATGAAATGAGTAGCGAATCGAGTAAGAGCAGGGCGAAGAATTTGCTTACCGCGAGTATATTTCTTCATCAAATCAACGGTCCAAATGTGATTATATATGAAGCATGTCACTTTCTTCGCTTCCTCTAACACTTTTTCTACACTAGACTTTTTTCCAATATCCTCAAGACAAAAAATCTAAGCAGTGAGCTGCACATGAGGTCTAATAAAGATGGTTTCTTTTCAACATTAATCTTTTCCCAACGGCTTTCATTGTTGCCTCATTGTCGGTCACTATTTGGATAATGTATTCTTCCCCAATTTCTTCAACAACTTTGTCTAACAAATTATAGTAGAATTCAGCATCTCTACTACGAATGTTCGAGACATCCACAGATTTCCAAAATACAGTTCCTTTACTACAATAAACAAGGAAGTTGATGATGTGCATTTGATTTAAACTATTGGTCCAACCATCACACATCAGAGTTGCACCCAGTTGTTTCCGATGCGTCTTCAGTTCATTTACCCATTCACGAACTTGTTCATACTCCGATGTCAAATACACATCTGAAATCTCATAAGGTGTTGGGAGCTTTACACCTTTTACAACTTCCATTGATACTTGAATTAAGTTATACAACCAAGGCGAGCTTGCTAATCGAAAAGGAAGGCGATCGTATATTATAAATTTCGAGACCGCTTCACCCATCTTTTTACGCAATGTCTTTAAAATAGACTCGCTAACCTTTGGTTTTCTTGAGCTTTTGATCTTAACCAATTCAGGTATAGTTCCCCTTAAACTAAATTCAGATCTTTCTTCACGATATCTTCCACGTGATCCAAGAGAAAAAGATCGTCCTTCTTCATAAATGTTATCCCAACCACCCGTACTTCGTCTGAATTCTTCTCTTCTATGCCATTCGTGTTGGGATTGAATACTTTCTTGAGTGGCTTGTCTCATAGCAGAAACATCATCTACGCATTCATCCTCTTCTTCCCTTAATTGTGATAAGAATTCATCTGTTCTCCTTTTTTTGTCCATTTTCTTTTCCTTGGCTTCTTTAAGTAATTTCATCATGCTTTCTCTAATGATACCTGTAATCAAATAAATATAATCACACTATTGATAATGTATAATATTTATTATTAATATTTAAAAATAAATATAAATTATATTTTTTCTAAAGAAATTATAAAGTATCAATATCACATATTCACATACCAGTGACATTAGGACATGGTGCGACTTCACCGGTTTTATGAGCAATGTGCTCTTTAAACCGTGTTATTCCTCCTTTCACAACTTTGCCACAAAGTTTACATACAATATTTCCTTTCGTATTTGGAACTGAAATTAAACTGAAATTAAATAAAATATATGACAATATTAGAAATTTAAAATACTCTTCTATTAACTAATCGAAAATAAAAAGCAATTTTCTAATAAAAATTTATTCTTTATATTCAATAGCATTTAAATATGAATACGTGTAGATAATATTTTAAATATAGAAAATTGTATATTCATATCACGATGTGCACAGTTCTGAACACTTATCATATGTTGATAGCTTTTACATATTGAATGAAGATAAAGTTAATGGCAGTAAGATAGCAAGCAATTCCCTCGGTGGTGCATGAAATAATTTTACATATTTTCCTTTTTTTTAATATAACTCACACTCATTGAATTGAGTTAACTGTTTAATTTAATTTCAAAACTATATAATAAAAGGCAACTATGGAATTCTGAAGACCAGCATTTTTGTTTTTTAATATATGTGGATTTTTATAATATATTTCTCAAATTTAGATTACTAAAACCGTGATCCGTATTTTATTTGAAAAAATCGAATATTTAAATTTTCGGATTGGATATCTAAATCTAAATATAAATTTTAATTTAACAAAAAATAATTTTAAATTTAATATTTTGTGATTTTATACAATTTATTATATATCTATATTATATATATATTTATCAAAATATGCTTGAACAAAGTAAAAAAAATTCTTAATATGTCATTTCAAAGCTTAAAAAAATAAATAATATAAAAGGTTAAAAAGGAAGAAGAACTTACTAGATTCAATTATAAAATATGCAAGCATTAAGAGTTAATATATTCTGTTTAATTAATGACATCCATGAGACATTTCCCATCTTATAATGATCAGTATGCAACCGGAAAAAAGGCAAATAACAAAGTGATTAGATGGAAATTTATATGTGAGGGACCAGTTCTTCCCTAAAGCACCATAGATGTATGCCAAAGGGGCAGACGGGTCCCAAAAAAGAGGCAAACCTTTCATGAAATGATGCCTGGCAATCCCAGCCTTCAAAATTAAGGCAAACCTTTCTTGTGTTATCGCAGAAGAAGTCTATAGTTAAGGCGTGGGCATGTCTTAACAATTAGTACACCCCTAAATTAGGGTTACAAATTTACAATTGAAAGTTCAATCCTTATAAAAAGGGAGTTAGTGTTTTCATGGAAAGTTTTAAAATCCGAGGACGACTTTTCTTAAGGAGGGGAGAATTGTAATACCCAAAAAATTTAGATAATGACCAAAATGCAAATTTTGAAAATTTGATGGTCAAAGTATAAAACTTGGAAAATATTTAGGGAATTAAGTGATAAATTTCCAAAAAAGAATTTGATTTTCATAAATAGATAGTTCACTCTTGAGAGTGACGTTTATAGAAATTATATTTTTTTTGATTTGGAAATTTAGTAAAGAAAAATTAGAAAGGGTTAAAGTCGGTAAGGAATCGGAAATTTAGATCGAATTGAAATTTTACAAAAGTTTGAAGGATGTTATAAAATGATTGGAAATATTATTGTAATATTTTAGTTAGAGAAATTTGGTTGGAAATGTGCAATTTTTCAAATTTAATCGAAACAGTGGAATTTAGTGACTAAAACGCAAGATTTAAAAATTCAAGGGGAATTTCATAAATAAAAGTCAAATTAATTCATATTTGACTTTGTAATATGATAAGGATGAGGTGACTTGGTTTTATAGTGAATAAGAAGATTAATTCAGGGTGATTTGGTCTTATCTCAAGTGAATGAATATTTTATTCAATTAAAGTTAGATTAAATGTAAATTGAGATGAAATGTACCTACTGAAGATATTAATTTTTTATCCATATTATTATTATTAATATTATTATTATTATTATTATTATTATTATTATTATTATATTAATATTATTATTATTATTATTATTATTATTATTATTATTATTATTATTTTATTATTAAATATATTAAATACATATAAATTACAAACCAATTACAATTCAACCGGCCCAGTTACAAACCAACTGAAACCGGTCCAAAACTAACTAGAAACCCTAAATGTTTAGGTTTCCAGTTAGGGTTTCCTAACCCTAATCATCCTCAGCCGCCTCATCACAGCCGTTGGATCTGGCACGATCCAACGGTCCACACTCATCCAGCACAAACCCTAGGGTATGATACCCTAGGGCCACGCGGCCGCCGCTGCTGCTGATTCCAGAAGCCCTCACCGCCTCCGCCGCTGCCACGTCCCAACCGAAGGCTCCAGAAGACAGAATACCAGCCGTCCACGCCATGGCTACTCGGTGAGTCACCACTGGTAGTCCGGTGACTCACCGAGGCCCCCTCTTCGGACCGGTCCGACGGCTACAACGGTGGTGGCTATAAAAGCCACCACCCCACCTGCGAAAAAAAAAAGAAGGAGAGACAGAGACAGAAGGACAGAGACAGAACCAAAAGAAAAAAAAAAAAAAGAAAGAAAATAGAGAGAGATATAAAACTACCAACGATCTCAGTCAGCATCAACCATAGCAAGGAAAAAGAGAGAAGAGAGACAAAAAGCTTACCCTGTCATCGGAGAGCCCCAATCGTCACCGGATCTCACCAAAACTTCGAAAAGCCGAAGGTATTATTGTAGATTTGCTCCGATTGGGAGCCTTTTAATGAAAAAAAACATCGGAACCGTCATTAGGACGGTCCGATCTACATTTAGGATGAAAAATATTTTTTCCGGCCACCGGAAACGGTGGCCGGCGGCGGTGGCCGGCGGCAGAAATCGCGGCGGCAGACGGCTGCCGGATTCCCTCCGGTGAGGGAATCTAGAGAGAGGCCAGAGAGAATTCTCTCTCTCTCTCTCTTTCTGCTAAAAGAAAAAAAAAAAAAGGAAAAAATGAAATGGCTGGCCCTTCGGGCCAGCCGGTTTGGGACTCTTATAGTCCTTCCCGAACGACGTCGTTTCGGGAAGGACTATGCGCGTAATTATAGAAAAGTTAAACCCCGTCCGTAGTCCTTAGTACTTGTAAACTTTACATTTTGGTCACTAAACTGAATTCATAAATATTTTAATTTAGTCTTTGAATTTTAATTTTATTCATTTTAGTCCTTTTTATTAAAATAATATATTTATGATAAATTACAAATTCAATCCCTTAATTTTAATAAGTAATTTTTTAATCCCTAGTTCATATTTTAAATTTATTCTATTATAAAATTTGAATTTTAAATAATTACACTTTGGTCACTAAATTATTAAATAAAAAAAATATATTTAAACCCTATAATTTCAATTAATTAGTAATTAGTAATTAGTTTTATTTTTATAATTTAGTTATTAATTTTATATGTCTTTATTTATTTTATTGTTTTTAAATATATTGTTTAATAGAATTATTATTTTATTATATTGTTAAATATTTTGATATATATTCATAAATATATATAATAAATATTAACTTTTAAATATTTATTTTTAATATCGAAGAAAAGGACAGTCTTAATACAACTGGATGTCCTATTCTGATGTTTTAAAATTAAACAATATTATTTAAATTAATATTTATCAATATCAAAGAAAAGAGCTGTCTTAAGGCACCTAGAAGTTCTTTTCGGATATTTTTAAATAAGTATTTTTTTTTTTTACAATTTTGAAATTATAAGATTATAAATTAAATATATTTTTGAATTTTTAAATTTTTAATAATAGAGACAATTTATAATTAAAAAGTACCAATTTTGGGCGTTGTAGGGGTGCTAATCCTTCCCTAAACGTAACCGACCACGAATCCCTTTTTATTATTAAAAAGAATGAATTTTTGGTTATAAAACGCAGATCAGTTCAATTTTTTAATTGATGTTTTCTTAAAACTCTTTTAAAAAATAATTTTTAGGTATTCGACCTACCTGATCCAAAAAGGCCGATGGCGACTCACAAATTATTTTCAAAATTATTTATTAATATTAATTTCCCCGCCAAATTTTAATATTTCGTGCCCGGACGAAAACCGGTTACGACAGCTTGGCGACTCTGCTGGAGACTGGTCAAACTTTTAAAAAAAATCAATTATAAATTGTCTCTATTAGTTAAAAATTAAAAATTTATATATTTAATTTTTAATTCTTTCTTTTCAAATTTTTTATGTATTTATTATTTTTATAATATTTATATGTGTTATTTGCAAGTATTTTATTTTATTAGTTATTTTGTCAGAGGTATGAACATTTCTCCTCACACACAACACTTGCATTACATTACATAAAGCTCTATAATTGAGTTGTCCCTTTTAAGTGGGAGTGAAAGCGACGTCTTCGTGAGAATTTATTCTCCGTGTCAGACCTAGCAAGTAACTTTCGGGGTTCATATGCTCTATGTCTTCGTGAGAATTTATTCTCCGTGTCAGGCATAGAGAAATGTATCCCCTCGAATTGAACTCAATCCACTTTAGTCTGTAATGGACTAGGATTGAGGGTTAGCAACCCAAGGGGGCACTAACAATGACAATTCGGGTACCTTCATTCTTAGATCTGAAACCCTGCATATAAAAAACCTTAGAAACTCTTCCGATCAGAAGTCATGCCGAAATTTTGTCCAAAATAGGTGTACACACAGGAGAAATAAATTTTGTCTTTCCTGTTAATTTATTTTACATGTTTATTTAAATTATTTAGAAAAGCATGTTTAAATTAAATAAATGTTATTATCCTTTAAACTAACTTATTTTCTTTTTGTGTGTTCATTATTTTTCTGTTTGCATTGCATCATACAGGATAAAAGACATTGATCCTTGTGTTAATTGTCGCATTGGAAAGCCTTCATCTATGGATAAAAAGTGTTCAAGTCAAATAATTCTGAACTCAGAAGTAAGACAGTGGGCTGAGGATTTACAAAGACAAGAAGGAGATAGTCTGCAGGATGATTATGTATCTGACTTGGCCAGTTATGCTTCAGTTTCACTAAAAAGAAATGATATGCAAGATTTGCGAAGCATTTGGGAAAGTTGGGATTCAAACAAAAAATTGCAGTTTTATCAGACTTACGGAGACATCCCATACCTGCTCTATGTAGAAGTTGATGATGAATTACTCCGAGCCCTAGTTCAATTCTGGAATCCAGGGTACAATTGCTTCACTTTCAATAAGGAGGACTTGGTCCCTACTATTGAAGAATACACAACTTTGTTACATATCGAAGGGGCTTTGGAGAATCGAATCTATTCAAAGTCAATTAAAACTCAACCCTTCCGAGTTAAATTAGCAAAAATTGCCGGGGTACGAGAAGAATGGGTAGCATCCCGTACAAAACAAAAAGGCGAAAGCGAAGGCATTGCTTGGACCAACATCAGAGAGCTTATTCAGAGTCATCCAGACGCTAAAGTACGATTTGATCTATTTGCTCTGGGTATATATGGTATGGTCATCTTCCCAAGAGTATTGGGATATGTTGAAGCTGCAGTGGTAGACTTGTTTGAACAACTACCGAAGAAGATTAATCCTGTTTCTGCCATCCTAGCAGAGACCTTCAGATCATTAAATGCTTGCAGAAGGCTAGGAGGTGGACGATTCTCAGGGTGTACTCAGTTATTATATGTGTGGATCCGTAGTCATTTCTGGAAGACAGAAAAGGTTTCATACCGACGCTTTAATACGGATTATTCACCATTAAAGGAATTTCTGGAGCAGGAATGGCCGAAAGAAATTAAGAAAGATATGTGGATTAATGCCTTTCGAAATTTGCAAAGCAATGACGTTGTTTGGCGAGCCCCGTGGCAAATACAAAGGGAATTCATTTACAGATGTGGGGATTACAACTGGATAATGCTGCTCGGATTATGGGGAGGAATTGGATATGCACCACTTCTGGTTATAAGACAGTATGAAGGTCGTCAATTTGTACCTGTCACTGCTGGATTACAGTCATCTGAGTTCGCATTTCACAGCAAAAATTATAAAAGAAATATCA